TTGAACCAATACTCTAATCTCGGCACTTCCGTCACGGGATCGATGAACGTCCGGTTCCTCTTCCTTCTCTCATCGGCTAGCATGCTGGTGGGACAACCGGCAGGTCCGCGCGGCGGCAGATAATGCGACATGTACATTATACCATGACCAAACATGGGGCTGGGTACCAAGGAAAATCCTGGCGGAATGGGACCTGTATGCCTGGTTTCGTCGTCCTCGGAACCAGAGGAAACTCTCGCGTCTTCTTGCTTTACCGAGGCTGGAGTAGATGTCGGCGGTTGTTGCTGATCTTCGGGTCTTGTAGTCAAGGACAGTGGACCGACAGGTGGACTACTCGGTGGACAGGGTGACCCCGATGTCGACTGAAAGCAGCAATTAAGAACCTCATCTCTTTTGGGTTTTAAGATCCATCAAATATCACAAGCATTAAGATTTTATGTAGAAATTTCCGAAAATCGCAATTTTTGCTATTTGCCATTTGATGTTTCTTTTGAAAAGATTCGAGGAAAATTATCATTTTTTTTTTAATATGATATTTAATCTTCGATGCCTTCTGATATTAATTTAATATTACAATTTTCAATTCTTTCATAAAAAGGTATTTACCTGATGCCTAGTGTCCTCCTCTTCGTCCGTGCAGTCTTCGCTAACGATGCTGGCGCCCCTCGGGCTAAGCCCAGGTGGACTGCAGCCATTCATGCTGGCTCTCTTCTGTGCTGCCCTGGCGTTCTTGAACCAGTACACGACATTATTCGCGTCCAGTGGTTTCCTGCCGCGGCGCGACTCTAGAGAGTTCAATTCCGCGACATAGTGTTGTATTTGTTCGCGTGACGGATGTTGATTCTCAGCAAACCAACGCTGGAGACGCGGCAACTCGAGCTCTGAGTCGAAACTGGTCCTCATCCTGGTCTTGTGCGAATACTGAAGAAGTGCCGGATGTGGCGGTCCGATCGGACCGCCGCCGGGAGCGATCGTACTACCGCTATCGGGCTGTGGACTTTGCGTGTGATGATGATGATTGGAAGTTGGTGCTATTGGATTTATACCGAGACCTATCTGTTGTTGCTGCAGCCACGTTTCAAAATTTCTCTTTGTCTCTTCTGACAGGTCGTTACCGCCTCGACAGAGGGATAGCAGGGTCATCTGCAAGAAGAAAACATGATCTTTCTTCAAAGACCTTATTATTATTATTAGCTGCTTTATTTAATGGTGTTTAATTATCTCTCTCTCTCAAATCATCTCTTGTCACAGTGATATAGTGACCTCTTCTGTATATACCCACTGTTACATGGGATTCCTAGTTTTTAACGCCAGTTCCTTGCTTTTCTTAAAAGAAGTTGTCATGACATAGTACTTTTAGTTTGCTATTACTTTTCGAAAGATCGATCAAATAAAATCTTACATATATGTTTTGGGATTTAAATCCGGATTTTTAACACAGAGAGAGTATCCATGCAACTTTCTATTACGATCGCTAATGTGAATAACAAATCTTGTAAAAAATAAAAGATTAATTAATAATTATAATTAATGTAATGATTGTTAAAACATTTTTATTTTCTTACTTCGTTTGTCCGTATATTAGATAATATTAAATTTTTTATTAAAAAGACTATTAGTCACGTTGTAAGCGCAATGCAATCCTTCCACATTACATTGTTTTTGAGATAAATAAAAAACAAGATGAGTAAGAGATATCGAAATCGAAACCAAATTATCAAGACAAATTTATTACGTGAATTCAAATTCTTTCGACAATCGATTTCTCTTTGGCTGGTTGTTAACGTGGATAAGCATTACAAAGTGACGTCGTTCAGAATCGTCATCATGGCATTAAGATGACAGATTATGGAAAATTTCGCTCAGGAAGCGGTACGCGCATCTTATCTGGCCGATGATTTATAAGAACAAATATATCTTCGGGCTGGAAGATCAGACGCTTGACGCCACTTTAATAACGCGGTAATCCCTCGCGTATCCCTGGCACCTTGGTAGTGTCAGATACTAGACGACAATTATCCGGCCGCCAGCGGCTTCTCGCTAGTCACCTCCTCGAATTCTCATCCGCCTCAGTTTTACGACACCGCACTTAATCACTCCAGGTAGGCAGGTGAGGCGCGAGTCTTGACAGGCGTTCTCAAGATTTCAGAAATCGTTCGGCAAACAGTGATACGTCGTCGAAAGCGGGGCGGCCGGCTTATCTGACAACATTGCACCGCGATTCGAAAGCCTGATTTACACGTATTTATTATTTAAGAGTAATTGTGCACAGTAATCGGCTGATCCATAAAACGGTAGTAAATCAATCGCGGTCATGAGATCCAGAGATCAAACAATCCGCGAAATTGCAGTAAGTTCGCGAAATTCGTGACGCGTATATCAAGAATTATCGCTATGATTTTCGCACATTATCTTTATCATAATTATCAATGTTTTGAATGTCCATAATTCTGATGTTTTGAAAGAAATTGGTCAACTAGTTATCCTATCTCTTAACTATTATATAAAAATTGTTCGTAATTACTAATTTTTTTTATTAAATTTTTATAAAGACATGCTGCTATATTTGTCGCCATTCTTATATAATTCTTTATCACGAATTTTATTTTGTTAAAGAAGTGTAGATGCTACAATCAACAAATCTTTATCAAAGCCAACGTAATCTTTCTTTTTACATAAATATATATGTGCATGTATTTATAAAAATGTAAACCAGATTTTGGGATGTACGTAAAAAAATTTTGCAAAAATATATAATAAATAAATCATATATGCCGCTACCGCGCTATAAATACAGTTAAGCCCTAATCCTGATATATCAGACTGACGTCTGTTAACATCACTGTTCTACATTTCAAACTAAATAAGAATCAAAACAGATTTTGTTGCTTTTTATTGTCTGAAATCACGTTGATACTGATGATTTATGTTTGCCGATCCCAATTAATGCAAATTTCATGCCCAAGCCCCAATTGAAAAATATTTATTATCTTTCCGAAACATTTCATTATTCTGAAAGAAATACGAGCACCAAGTACTTTTCAAAAATTATGTTTTAATGCTCTTCATTTGTATGACTTTGCATGTTTAAAATTCTAATCACTCTGTAATGAAAGCAATTTTGATATATCCGAATGCCACAAATTGTGCACTTCACCTGAATCACGGATACCAGAGATAACTGGTACCAATCTCATGATAAATATTGTTGCATCAAGATAAAAGCAAATTGAATTTACGATTTATTTTAGAAACGCAGAAAATAATAAATTTTTTGTCATTTACTATAACTTTATTAATAAGCATTTAATTTGAATTTATTTCTAATTTTACTTAAAATTTAATATTGAAGAGAATTAATAAAAGCATTTGCCAGATAATATGTCAATTTAATTTTCTCTTTAGAGAAAAGAAAGATTCCTTACATTTGCAAAAAAATTCGTAATTAACGAAAAATTTCTGAACCTTCAAATTTCTTCATAATTATCATATATAAGTGCGAGAAATAGAATAATTAAGATAGAATAATTTCTTCTGAAAAGATGCCATTGTCAAGAAATATCATACGTAAAGGAAAGCGAGGAAGGGAAATGCTTGACAGCACATCTTCGTGCATCATCGTCAGATTAAGCTAAATCTATGCGAGAGATGTTGGTTCTCCATCACAGCGGTTCGCCATTAGCCGTCGGGCTACGAAACTCAAGTAGGAAACGTTTGCCAGAGAAAATTGGTAATCATAGACCACCGTGAGCGGCATTAAAGTTCGGGGATGGGCGGGTAGCGGGATCTTCAAAGAGAGTGCACTTAGATAATGCCGGCTCGGAGGAGGCAGGGTACTTCTCCTCTCTCCCCCGATACCGATATCGAGGGGCTTTTGATGAAGGCTGCGAATTTGGTTGAGTAAAGGGTAATCCTATCACACGCTACGAGATCTTCCGCTGTCGGAAGGGCACATTTGCGCGTGTGGACCAACCCGAAAAATTGCGCGTCTATTTCAATCTTCGGGGAACGAAGTCTTCAGGGAGAGAATCGCGCGACCGGGATAAACTTCTCGAAGTCATTGCGAAAAGAATTTTCACATAGTTAGCTGGAATAGTCGGCATTACTTTAATCAGTTTTGTCGCTGGAGACAAAGATTGAGTGAGAGCCATTAATTCACGCAACGTTAATACAATTTGTAAAATCATTTATGCAAAATTGTTAAATCGTCAGCGAAATATTGACATTGTGATAAAATTCTTCTCTAGAAGTTAATTACCATTGTCTGCTTCATTAAGATCTTGATTAAGATGTAGTTTCAGAAAAATCTGTTTTTGCTACTTTAGGAAAAAAATAAATCAATTAAAAATTTGCGTGATTAAAATAATGAACATTACAAAGTAAAATATTTCAGAGAAGATGAATATTCCAGAGTAAGATGATCGGAATTCGAGAAAACTTTATTATTCGAACGTTTCGATTCGCGCGGGAATGAAAGCTACCAAAAGCGCGGTGACTTCTCTCGACTAGTGATTCGAAACCAAGAAAGCATTTATTCAAGGTGAGGATCAGCGAGCCGCGAGCAAGAATTTACCGAAGATTACCACTTGCCGTTCTTACGGGAGGTATAAGAGTACCGAGCCGGAGGACTTCTTAATGAGATTAAGTGCCTCGACGACAAACACTCTTTGACTAGATTTACATTTTATACATTTTTAAGCGGTTGCCTTACTACTATATTCCTTGCTCCGATGTCGCCTTGAATAGTCCTTAAATTCTCTCGATATATCGCGCCATTATTTAACCTCATTTTTTAAACGCATAATGTGGATATATATATATATAAATTTTTTTTTTCTATGATCTTTTTTTTCGTACTTTTATTTTTACTAGTACTAAAATATGGACTAAAATAAAGAAGACATAATACGCCAAAAAGGTGAAAGATAGGAACTATTTTGTTGAAGGATCTAAAATTTTACTGAATACAGATCTGAAAATAATTTTGTTGGACTATCAAAATAATTATATTTAAAATAATGATAAACAAAAAATTTTTATATTCTAACAACTAGTTTGAATTTCTATCAAAATTATTTTGATCGTCCAACTAAATTATTTTCAGATCTGTATCCAATAAAATTTTAGATCTTTCAACAAAATAGTTTCTATTTCTCGCCTTTCTAGCGTATTACGTCTTCCAATAAAATTTTAAATCTTTCAGCGAAATTGTTCTTTCCGTGCAATATTCAGAATAAACTTATATTTTGTTTGAATATAAGTACGTCTCATTAACTATATCCATTATAAACATATGACGCACGCACGCACGCACGCACGCACGCACGCACGCACGCACGCACGCACGCACGCACGCACGCACGCACGCACACACACACACACACACACACACACACATTATATAAGAAGAAAATGCTTATTAAATTAAATATGATACAACACATTGCATTCCTTTTTCCAAATATTAATTGAAAAATGTAAATTTTGACACCTAAAAGCTTTCGAGATACCTTACCTCATCCAAAGGGCACCCGGCGGAAACGAGAAGCGTGTGGCTATGCAACAAGAGCAACCTCAGCAATTTATTTCTAACTTCAGCTGCCGGACTGGGAGGTGGCGGCCTGGATCTGTACACCTGAATTTTCAGGGTCGCCACCGACGTTAATTCGGCCAAAATATCTCCTACTGTCAGTAATGGTCCATCGGCAACTTTCTCCATCGGCAAAGGCTTCCAGTTACGTATAACGATACTCCCTCTTGCACTTGGTATCAGATCGCTGGAGTATCCCAGACGAACAAGTGCCTCGCCCACCAAATCCTGTCAGTAAAAAACAAAACTATCAAGATATATTTTCATATCTAGATATTTATAATAATTTTGATCAAAGAAATACTCTACTTTTTTAAAAATTTTTTATTTGTGTGAAAATAGTGCTTCTCAGAGAAGACTTTAATCTTTTTTCTTTTAAATTTATTTTGACATTATTTTATTTAAATAGTAAATTTCTCATCGCCACCACGAAAATTTAATTTTTTAATATAGCAAATTATACTCTAAATAAGTTTTTCGATTTTTTAACTGTAACCATTTATGATATATCAATAGATAGTAAAAGTATATAAAAATATATAATAAAAGAAAATTATTCTTACCTGAAAAGGCATAGCTACCGGAATAATAACGTAAGAGTCCGTCTCCACTTGGGGACTTCGCCATTTTTCACGGCTGTTGCTCACATGGCTTTCCACAATATTGTGAATCGTCTCCACCACACAATGCACCGGTAGATTTTTCGCTGTGACAGACAAAAGCGTTTGTATGAAGTAACATACTCGGCAATCCATTCTCATTATGGATAACAATAGAGTAACGAATTTATTATGGGTAACATATTAGCTAACAATTGCGTCATTTTACGACTTGTAATTTAATTGTGTACATGTATGTAACGGATAAAAGCTTTCATTAAAAATTCGTAACCAATTTCATAGTCATCTTTGGAATTTCAACTAAGTACAAGATGTGTAATTTTTCATATAATTACATCGGTTTTTAATTAAGAAAATTTTTAATTTCTACCACGTAATTTATTTTTTTATCAATTTCGATTACAAGTTTCTTTCACGAAAATTCCTACTTTTTCTCTGACTGTTTTATCTTTAAATCATCACGGATACATTATTTGACGATTTCTCGAAAATTTGTTGTAGTAAATCTGATTAATTTAATTCGAAAGCTAAAGAGAGTGAGAGAGATATTTCCACGAAGGCTTCGTGAGTCCACGAGAATGCCTCAAATCATCTCGTAGTTTCAGTTGAAGCATTAGTTTCTGTACATCCGGCTGACAATAGGTATAGTCTTCGGCGTTTCGGCATCCAAATTCGAGGGGTAGGATGATTCGCGGTGCGCGCATTGAAGATCGCTGAGAGAAGACTGAGAGAGAAAGAGAGAGTTACGCGAAGCGCAAAAGGAAGAGAGAGAGAGAGAGAAGTTTAACTCCGGTGCTAAGCATATGCAGATCCACTCGTCTATCCCGAGACAATGGGACCTGTGCGATGGCACAATAGCTGCGATCCTTGTGTAACCCTGACTTAAGTCCGAGAGTCTATCCCACTCCAGGTCATAATCCCAGACTTCTGCGAAACCGAGGAAATGGAGTGCGAGAAGGAAGGGAGAGGGATGGTAAAAGAAAGACTGTAGAGAAGGGAAGGAAGAGGGGAAAGTTCCGCCCGCACAATTCCACTGGTTGTATGGTGCCTGTATTTATCCGTTAAAGGGAATCACCAAATTCTCAACGAGATTATTGAACTTGCTGTTTACTGATATACTCGTATATATCCTGCATTGTTTGGAATGCAGAAATATATTTTTGTTACGATATCAATAGAGCAGTCGACGTCAAGTATGTCTACATAAAATGTGCATCTGTAATAAAGATATTGCAAAAAATGACGACACAATGGCTAAAGAAATTTAACTACTACAGATACTTTAACAGTGTATATTTTGTAACTTTAACAGAAATTTAGTTTAAAATTAGAAATAAGAAACAATAAACGGCAATGAAAGTCAAGCGCAATTGGAGCGCAAATTAATTATTTATTGTTTTTTTTTTCAAATCATTCTAGAATTTAAACGTTTCGACTTCATTCTGAGCCATTACCGAGGAGTAAATTTAATTAATTATACATGATAAATGTGATTATTTTCTCAAGCTCTAAGTTAGAATGTAATGGGTGTATTTCTCACATTGGTTGTAAGATCAAGTGGATTTGAATTCAAAAGGAGTTAAGATTACAATTAAAAGCCATGTAGTAATCACATTAATCAAATAAATAAAAATTGACATTTAAACATTATTCAATACGATATTTTTGCAGCACGATTATCTGTGACAAGTGCAAAATCAGCTATACAACAAAATGAAGATAATTTAGTTTAACATTTAATTATGATAAAGTATTCAAAATGCTAAAGTTTCAAATTTTATTGCGATAAAAAGCAATAATTTCATTTTCGTTTGGAAAAAGTTCAACTTGAAATTCATAGAAGCGACTATAATAGTATAATATTTCTATAATAGAATAATAGATTAAATTTTTCCTATAAATTTATTTATAAAAGTAAAATGATATTGAAATTATATTTCTTACGAACATAAGCTAATCAAAGTGCAATATGGATTGTATCCGATAGGTCGAATGTCTCTTGATACAAGGCGTTAAGTCTCCGTCAAAGATGACCAACAAAGGATTTACTGCCGGCGGCATGATATTAGGTATTAATGGCCGAAACTTCCATCTAATACGTTGGACATCATAGAACCCATTTCCTACGTTGCATAAGACAGGTCGTATCTGGCGGGTCCGAAGGCTGGCCAACGTCCACCTTAATCTAGGGACGTATAGTTTTCATTAAGGCGCCCCCCATCCTTGCGTCGTCTTTGTACCGGGATCAGCTGGTTTAAGGTGGGCTTTTACGCCGCAGGATTTAATCGCAGAGACATCGTATTACTCGCTCTGTTTATTACCGACGCGTTGACTTGACACAACTCTGCGATACTCGTTGTTTGATCACAAAAGTGTCCGTTTATTTATTATACAATTTAAGATCGTTCTTTCATAAACTGAAATGTGTACTCATTGTGGGGAGAATTAATTGAGTTTCCATTTTTATTTAGGAATAAAATCGAGAGACTGATTATAAAAATATATAACTTCTATATAATATATCAATAATAATCAAATAAAATTCAAAATGCATTTCTTAATTGTTTTATTAATTTGTACGCTCACAACAAAACACGTTAAAAATTTATCGTAAGAAATGCGAAAAAAGAAATGTAAGAGGTGGCAACTACTCATCCGCGAAATCTTTAATCTCTGTAACCGCAAAGACATTTCTCATTTCTGGTGCAGAACCTATCGGGCTTCCGGTTATCTTCCCACGACGGAAGTGTCATGCCGTTTCGTCTTTGACAGCTCTCGTCGAAAGATAAGATTCATCCGAAGGGCAACCCTTGAAGAAGCGAAACCAGTTTCTCTCGATGGCTCTTTTTCATCACGATGGCTTCATCTTGCGTTTCGCGTTAGCGATTTCTCGTATTGTTACGTCTTGCCACAGTAACATCTATTTATCACTAATTTGATATACGCTATTCTCTTTTATGATAGTATGTATTCAAAATTACAAATTATCGACAATTATTTAGAAATATGATTATTAAAATAATAAATTTCATTAAAGTTAAGCATACAACAAACTAAAAAAATTAAGTTAGACAGTAAAAGAAATTATAAATAGATATGTAATAATTATTAAAATTCTCCATCAAAGATATTAAAAAATATATTTAAAAAATATTATACTAAAAAAAATAGTTTATAAAATTAAAGAATAAAGCTTCCTAATATTTTGTCTTTTTTTTTTCCGCTTTAAAATCCGCTTTTGTGGCCAAACGCATCGGACTCGTAGAGTGATTATGGGAGTCACAACTTTGCAAATTAACAGAACGCTCAGTTTTGCACCGAGGCGGTGGTGCAGATACAAGATAAAAAGTTGGAACATATTTTTCGGCACCCTGCTATCGCACACTCCGCACCGCCGCGATAATGGCCGCGTTCGGCACGGAAAACGCGATTTGAAGGGGGTGCGGCCAAAGAATCATCGTCGAATATTTCTTTCTGCGTCTCTTCACGACCCTCGTTTTCTGCGCGCGAAATGATTACCAGTGCGTTCCGAGATTACCGAGGATCTTTCTAAATCATTGACGGAAAAAGTACACGCCATTTAGATTCATCGACAGTGACGTTTCCGCAGCTATATCGGTGTGCTCGGATACGATTAAGCAGAGTGATGAAGGAAAGGGAGAAATGAATTTAATTTCTTGGAGATTTAAAACGAAGGAGGCAAATTAAAATTTTTTATTTAGATATTTAACACTCAAATTAAATTTAAGTGTTTAAATTAGAAGAAAGAAAAGTCATAATCCGTTTAAATGCTTAACTTTAATATTCTCGTGAGTTGAGTAAATTGTGAAATAAGTAAATTTAAAAATCTATAAATAATTTACGTAACGTTATATGTAGTTAAAGATATCATAAAAAATTTTTAAGCATTTCTAAGTTACAGTCTATATACATACATCAGTTACTTTAATAAACAGAGTTGCATTTGTGCTTATCGAGATAAAAGATATAAAGGATGTAAGAAAATTATCGCTTGTCTGACATCTCCATCTGAAATCGACTGAATGAGCGCAAACTCAGTGCAGGGACCGTTAGTCTTAAGGTTTCTTCTGCGTCTTGATGACTCGGTAATCCAAGACGACTCGATTTAATCTCTCGAAATCGAATCAGGTTACGAAGCCACGTTAAATCGTCCGAATAATACTATTCTTCTGGGCTGACCTGTGCCTGTTCATTGCGGCTGATCAGTGCCCACGGTCAAAAAACCCAATTTGCAGTTTGCATGTCCAAAGAAATGAATTGTGCCACTGGGATATCTAAACCCAGCTGTGTGGCATGCGGCGGAATTCGCAATCCCTGGAAGTCGACTGTTTCCGTCCTCGGAACTTAGCCTAAGCGTGTGCACCAGAAGGAAAGTGTGGGTGGTTTCGGTATCTGGGGCTGATCCGGCGGATGTCGGTCTTTACAGATAAGCGACCGGCTCTTTCGAAGTCTTTATCTGCGACACCCGTTCTCTTTCTCCCTTCCCCTCTCTTTCCCTTCTCATATTTCCCCTCCTGCTCTTCCACATCTTTTTATTATTTTCCTACTAATGAGCTGTTCGGTTCATTCCAGTCAAGTTCTCGGATTAATGTTCGAGATTTTTACCATCACGTCTGTCCCATGTAACATTACGTTTAATTGATTAATCTTATCGATTGGTTCTTGTCCGTCATATATTTATGATCAATTGAAACTACTAGCTACTGATAGTCTCCAACTTTCTCGAGCGTTGTATGTTTCGCGCATGCAAAGCATGCTATTGTTCGTAAGCTCGCGTGCAATATAAGCTCTTTTGATGTTGCTAAGCTTGTCCGTTGAAAACAACGGATAAGATATAATGAGATAACCTTCCAGCTAGTGCTTATAAGATCACCGACCACGCGACGAAACCTTCTAAATCTAAATGTTAGCTGATTCATAGCGACTAGATCACGCATCGTCGCCAACGAAATATCTTAATAGCATCTATATCTCATTTCGCATTTGTATGAACTGACATATCTAGATAATTTGCAAAAAATACAAGATTAACAGATTTTCATTTTTTATTTCAGCAGGATTATTT